TAAGGAGGGAGTGACCAGATGTCTTTGTGACTGTTTAGAGCATGACAACACTCGCCTTTATAATCTCCCACGTAATTGCAATTAACCAGATTTTCGTTTTCAACTCATTTGGATAGGTTCTCCACGGCCAACCGGATTGCGCACGTGGTGCAAGCGTCAAAATCCTCCAAGGCATTCATACTCCGAAAGTGTAACTTTAGCTCGATGCATGCATATTCCCAAATCACAAACACACGGGCACAAGTACGATACACTTTTTTACACAGTTGCTTTTTATATTAAAAATCTAGATGACTGTTTTTGAATTTAAAATTGGCTGTCAGACCAGTAATTGCTCATTATATGGGTTAGGGGTCCACTTTATACGAGAATCCACTGGCTGCGCGCTCGCAGGTCCAAATTTTGATTTTGTTCACAGCAAGGGGTCCAAGGATTTATTTCCCACTCTCGCGTAAATGATATGCAGCGGGACCCTTTCAATTACTTTTAAAACGCACGCGGGACGCCGCGCGCAGACACCGCCGCTCCTCTGCTGCTGGAAATGAGGCTCCGAGTAGCAGCTGAAATTTTGAAGTGCAGGACGGTATTGGATGAAATCACATAAACTGCAAAAAAGCAAGTGTAATGGTGCATAATTGGTTCTCTAATAGCATTACACAAGGATAATAGCCTGTTATGGCCCCCTGCACTATTAAGTGCTTCCCTGGCGTAGAACGTTTATGATATTAAGAGGGGAATATAATGATATTTTAGTTATTAAATGCGTGTAATTAATTTATGCACCGCTGAAAATAAAGTTGGTGTTATGATCTCGTCAAAATGCATCGGAAACTGGGGGACGAGCTCTGTATAACTTCTTGACATTTGTGTTATTATACGGAACGGAGATAGATTGATCAAACCTAACAGATCAAGTGATTTCTACGATCTTGAGAGTCTGACTGGGAGTGTATTACAGCAGTATATGTGCCAGATGAAATGAGTGTCATAAAGCGCTCTATTTAAAACATGTCTTTAGAGTGTACGTGCGACTGAATAATTGCTGTTTTTAATTTTTAACTAAGAGAATAATTGTGAATGCATGAGGCCTCGTAATAAAAAAAAGAAAAAAGGAAATAAAAACGTTCAGTACCATGGTCAGCGACAGGCCAGCTCACGAACAAATGTCCAGCATTAAAACAAGTTTGATTAATAGACTACACACGAATAAGTAAATTATTATTATTATTATTCTAAGCCCATTATAGACGTATAAACAGTTTTAACGAGGTCGGAAACTCGAACAGAGCATGAAATAAATTAATAAACTCTTTTATTTCAAATTATTTCAAAAAGCATTTCGCAGTTAGTTCCTTTAAAGATTTATTCGCTCTAGTTTGAAGAGAAAAGTATCTTCACAAAAGCACTAATTAAAAAAATGTTTTACAATAGCAGAAGTATTTTTGAAAATGTTTATTTTTAATTGCTCGTGTGCTAACTCGCATTGACAAACAATATACGACGAACGCTAATTTCTGACACATTAACTTAGAACATTAACAAGAAATAAAAGCCTGTCCCTGAGAGGCCATGGCATTGTGATTAATGTGCAACAACAGAAAATCATAGTTCTTTTCAAAATGAGATCCAATAAGCCCCCGTGAGGTGGTGTATCTTTCGGCTCATCATCTTGTGATGCATTACATTTCCTAGGTCATATTAATAAAGTGTACTAAGGAGTTGATCTAAGGGTGATCTTTTATTGGGTAACTTTTAATGAATCAATTTAATTGTTAAAATGTGTACAGTATTCCCTCAACACCATCACTGGCTTTACACATTGCAATTACATTAAATCTAATTTGTTCTTACTGAACAAACAGTAAGAGGAAGGCAGGGCTAGATACTCTCAAGACATTAAATAATATTGATTTTATAAGTTTCAAAATCACCTTCACTTACTAGAATGTCATGTAAACAAATTGGCACCAAGCACATGTATAGGGTAGAAATATAATGTACATTTTCCATTATTGCCAAATTATTGGTAGAACTGAGTGAGTACCAATAATTGAGTGAATAGAAAAAGATTACAGCAGTATTACAATAATATTGTAATAGTATTATAACATTAACATTATATAAGTATAGCAAAAAAAAGTACTGGTCTCAACAATAATTGCATGAATAACACATTTTCAAGAGATCCCCAAGTTCAAGTAATTTCCAGGAATTTTACAAAAACAAACAAAAGAATGACATCATATTTCTTTTTTCATACAATTGGAGTGTTTTACAATAATAGGCCAATACAATTCTTTAGTACTTTTTACAGCCAACCTGGAAAGTTCTTGGAAAGTTCTAGGAAGTTTATTGAAATGAATTGCATTTACACATTTTGTAATCTTAAAATAACTGATGCATCGAATCACCTGTGTTCCCAAGTGTGAGGTATACATTCCATTTGGAGCTTCTCAGTTAATAGTTTTCATACGCGCCACTCCGTTTACCTGTAGTCAGCTTTAAGCTTCCACATCCCTTCCTGTCCAGGAAGTCTGTGGAACTCACAAATATTCCTTAGCAGTTCTCTGAACACTGCTGTCTGTGTGGAAGTGAGTCTCGGGGTGAAGTACTCCAGGATCTCCTTGGTGCTCGCTTGGCCATCCACCTGAGCTTGGAAGGCCACAAAGTTCCTCAGGTCAACCAAAAGCTCATCGTGTTCTGTGGGGGTAGCATGCACGGCAGTAGACTCTCTCTCGTCCTCTTCCTCATCCTCTTGTCTCTGGGGTTGATTGAGGTGATTCCTGGCCTTCATTCTAGCAAGGAGAGAGGATGAGGACAGAGAACCAGACTCCTCCTGCGCTCCTTCACCGCTGAAGTGAGCAGCAGATCCTGGTTTCTTTACAACTGACTTCTTTATAACATCTGCATCCTATATTAAAGAAAAAAAACACACACACAACATGAGTGCTCAACAACCATTTATTATTCTTTTGGGGGTTCACAGGATATTGTATCCATATTGACATACCTTGCATTTCTCTGCTGCTTTTGCTGTTGTCCCAGATGACTGAAACAGAAGTGAGTTTTTCTTCTGCCCAAACCTTCTCCTAAGAGCAAAATGGATGTTAAAACAGCCTCATATTATTAATACAATTTTATAATATAACAAAAAAAATAGTCGTACTTGACTGGAGGTGGGGTTGCTGT